TATATGTAGAGAGTTGATGCCCTCCTAATTCAATATCAGGGCGGAGAGAGCTCACGTGCATTGTGGCCGGAATCGTTCCGGCCACTATCGGTCCACACCGGGGCTCAGACGGCCTAGGCGGGGCCTAGTGTTAAATCCATTACGAACTCATTATTCATTGACCTCGCACAACAACGCCCACTACGCCGACGAGAGTAATACAATGACAGGATCAATCTACCATCGACATGAGTGCTGTCGCTTCGCCTATCTCTTCCGCCTGAGAAGTCCAGAGTTCCCTCAGGACATTAGGGGTGAAGGGTACTTTCTGTGATATCGGTCTTATCGTTCTTACACTCACGATGGCTTCACTAAGCGGGAGGGAATATGAAACTCCGCGACAGAACTCTTATCAAGAGTGTTGTACAGTCGGCGGCAGAGTGAGACGGATATTGGCACCTTGGTGGGACGCAAGCCCTTCACTAAGTAGGCTCTATGCCAAACACGTCACCGATCCGACCGGTTTCTTCTAGGGTTGGCGGTGGATGAGGCCGGAATCAGTTCCGGCCACGGTCTATATTAGCAGAGTTCTGGAGGTTATGCCCCAGATGAAACCCTACACCTCGATTCTTCCGAAAGTCTCGTGTAACCTCACGCTCAGATACCAATCGTCCATCTCAACCATTGGAACAACATAACACATCCACCGCCCCCCTATCCTATCCTTAGCAACATGTTCATTCCCAACACCTCATTTGAAGTCCTTGAGGACACAAAGCCAGACAATGTCTCTCTGCCGGCATTCATGGTGTCGACCACCCGGGGCTTCCTGCCTCGGATGGATCCAATTGTCACCTTACCCCGGGAGTTTGATCCTGTTGAGGACTTGCTACGAGATATGCCTGTTTCAACCCAGTCAGGTCGCCCCGGATTGTTAGCCACTGGCCAGTTCGGTGATGCAGTGGATAAGCTTCCTGAGTTGACCCAGGAGGTAGAGAAGTATCGTGACAATCTTCCTGTCTTGAATGCCTTGTATCGCGACTACTCCTTTCTTGCCTCGGCATACCTCCTAGAGCCTTGCCATATGAGGTTCATCAAAGGCGAGCCTTATGGGTTGGGCCGATCGTACCTACCGGTTCAGCTGTCACGTCCCATTGCACGATGCGCAGAACTGTAAGCCATCTTATACATCTTGGATCGATGAGAAACAATCGTTAACCACCTTACACAGTACTGGCTTTCAGCCCTTTATGGAGTATGCTGGCTCTTATGCCCTTTTTAATTATCGCCTTCAAGATCCGGGTAGGGGCCTTGAGTACGATAACTTACGCCTCATTCGCGCCTTTGAGCACGGACTTGACCCTTCTTCCTCGGAAGCGGGCTTCGTGCTAGTGCACGTCGACATGGTGAAGAACTCCGGCCCCATAATAGCCGGCACTATGTCAGCCCTGTCCGCTCTCGGGGACCGAAACGGTGCGGATCCCACCGTGCAACGGAAGACGTTCAACGATGGCCTCCGCACCGTCTTAGGCGCCATGCAGAAAGTCAACAGCGTCATGGAGACGATGTGGGGGAAGTCAAAACCGCGCTCATACACAAGCTTCCGCACCTTCATCTTCGGCATCACGTCGCAGTCTATGTTCCCAGACGGCGTGGTCTATGAGGGCATCAACGACAACAAGCCAATGAGCTTCCGCGGCGAGAGCGGCGCGAATGACTCGATGATCCCGCTGATGGACAACCTCTTGCAAATCCAAATGCCAAGTACACCTCTAACGAAGATTCTGCAGGACTTTAGACAGTACCGGCCCAGTAACCACCGGCAGTTCCTCGTCGAGGTGAAGCAATGCTCAGAGGATCTAGGCATCAAAGATTTCGCGCTCGGAGTCAACCGCTTCCATACTGCGAAGACCGACGAGCAGAAGGAATTGCTGCTCGAGTCACGACGCCTCTGGATCAAGCTCCTGGACCAAGTCCGCGACTTCCGATGGCGGCACTGGTGCTTTGCCCGCGAGTACATCCTCAAACAGACATCGCACCCGACGGCCACTGGTGGCAGCCCCATCGTAACATGGCTCCCCAACCAGTTGCAGGCGGTCATGGAGGAGATGGTGGAGATCTATAGGAGTGTAGGGGGACAGAGCGGCCCTGCAGATCTTGGGGAGCAGTGCCGAGAAATCAATGACCTCGTCAACCGGCAACGAGATACGCTGCGTAAGGAGGTAGACAAGTACTGCCAGGAGCGTGGCGTCAGTATTCGCGGGTAAGGACGAAAAGTAAATTAGATTGATCCGATCATCGAGCCCAGGCAGGGCCAATAATGTCTGTGATAACACTGACACAATGACACATTGGCATCGTCCCCATGCTACACGACTTCGAAGTGCATACGAGTGATTGACATCGTGAAAGCCGAGCTGGCCTACCTATTCGGGGAGACTTCTCTGACCTCCACACACTTCCCCATTCCCATACCCCCACCAATCTCCACTAGACCTTTTCAAGAAGACCCGAGGCCCGTACCTAAGTAAGTAGTCATCTGCCTCCTATCTCGTATAAGAGCGAAAAGGAGTTCAATCTGGCGGATGAAATCTAGCGGGACGTCTCCATAATACTACGATACTAACTGCCCCGATGTCGGTAGTCCGGACCCTTGGGACATGTTGACTGGTTGTGTGCTTTGACAAACTTTGAAACCTGCGATAGGCTGTATCAACCAACCTATTAGCATATTGTGAGAGGACTGCCGCGTGCCTCTCACGAGTTAATCACGAGCTTCACACTAAGGTAACCTATGATACACTGCTTGACCCCCACTGCAAAGATGGAAACTCTCCATTGTCAGAGGGGTTGAGTGGACCGAGGTCGCATCACGACTAGGTAAATCAGGAGATCGTAGGTTCTCCTTCACGGATGGGCTCCAGTTGTCTAGACGGATATGGGATGGCTGTTCACTAATGGCTTTCGTCGTCTCGACGTCAGGTTGCTATCCTATCAAGATGCAACTAGCCGGCAGGGACATGCCCCGGAGCCATCCCGCTTCCCCGCGAGCATCCTCCCAATGGTTTATATAAGATGCATGGCGAAGTGACTTACACGGGATGCATGGAACTGCCGGGACTTGGCCTCCACCCTTATCTTGTATGTCGAAGCGTGCTGGGCTTATGCCAGTGTGACGACATCGATCAACCGACTAGCTAGGTAGTCTTCACTCAAGACCCCAACCTTCGACTTCACTCAGTCCCTAGGAACTCCAGCTCGTAGACGCCATGGGTTCCAACGAAGCCTCTGACCTCATAAACGCGCTCCAGCCATCTATAGCCGAGAGACTTGACCCGGTATATCTCGATATCTACAATCGGTACCAGGGTAAGCAGTCTATCTAGCGACATGGCGGCAGATATCACGAGTCAGACGCTCACCCCATCCCAGCCACACGTCTCCGGGCCGACCAGGTGCCCTACGAGGTCTACAATGCCGACAGGGAAACATACAGCTTCCCGACGGGCAAAGTCACCGGCCCCTGTCCCGAAGTAGCCAGCAACACCATCTACCGCGTGCCCGTCCAACACCCGGCCGGCGAGGTCGAAGTCCAGGTCTACGTCCCGACCCCCGAAGCCATAAGCGCCGGCGGGCTCGCCAACCCCGAGGGCCGGCTCCCAGCCCTCGTCAACTTCCACGGCGGCGGCTTCGTGATCGGCGACCTGAAGTCCGACGAGCCGCTCGTGCGCCAGCTCTGCCAGCGCGCCGGCTGCGTCGTCGTCAACGCCGACTACCGCACGGCCCCCGAGTTCCCACATCCAACCTCAGCTCTCGACAGCTGGGACGTGCTAAAATGGGTCTTTTCAAACTCTGACAAGCTCAACATCGACCCCTCCCGAGTCGCCGTGAGCGGGCTTTCGGCCGGCGGGTGTCTCGCGGCCGTACTATCCATCATGGCAAGGGACGACTTTAGCCTGCCACCCCTAAAGCTGCAGCTCCTCATCGTCCCGCTCGTCGACGTGCGCTACGTCCCCACCGAAGGGCCGTGCAAGGACGGGCCGTACGAGAGCTACGTTAGCAATGAGTTTGCGCCCATGCTGCCGCTCTCGCGGCTCGTCTGGTTCTATAACTACTGGCTCGGGACCGGGGCGGATAGGGAGGAGAAGGCTAAGGATTTCAGGGCGTCCCCTCTCCTTGCTGAGTCCCATGAAAATCTGGCGCCTGCCTCTATTCGCGCAGCTGAGGTCGATCCCCTTGTTTCTGAAGCTGGCATATACCATGAGAAGCTGTTGGCCGCGGGGACGCCAAGCAAGATCAAGATATATAAGGGGCAGGGACACACGTTCCCGCAGTGGGATGGGCTGAATCCGGGTTCGAAGGAGTTTGTGAGCGATTGTGTTGATGATCTGAAGGAAGCGTTCAAATTGTGAGTGCTAAAACCGAAGCGAGGAGAGAGGAGCAAGCTATTACCTATATACCGGCCGCCATGTGAGCTTTTATTTTTATGGGTTTACAGATGCATAGGTATTGGAATGAATATTGTTCCCTGGGAGGCTCAATCAATTGATTTTTCTATTACCTTGTCTAATGCTCCCTTTATCTGCCCGTAATCGCTTATCTTTTGGCCCGTAACTATCGTCTTTTATTTAGAAAGGGGCTAAGATATCGGCTCTGTTAGCTATTATAGTATTAAGGCCTTCTATGGAGGGGTCTGATATTGTTTGTTAGAAGCTAAATTGAAACATATAAGCAACCCCATAGCCGACAGCTCTGTCCTACTTATTTTAATATTCTATCTAGATAGGGCATACTAACATCAGCTATAGTTGACAGTTACTCCGGACCCTTCACAATAAGTTAAGAGAGAACTTTCTATTTTTTGTTTTACTTCCATCCAATAGCCAGCCTAATCTGTTGTGGTAGTTTGCCTCTATCAGCCAATCACATCTACCCGGGCGCCAAAGATGTAAAACAAGAATACGAAAAAGCAAACAACATATTCAATACAATTGTGGCAAAAAAGAAAAGAAAAGGACAAGCTCCGAATCGGGGAATCGAACCCCGAGCCTGGCGGATCTCTCTTAGGAGTGAAAACGCCAAATGTTAACCGTTACACCAATTCGGATTGAGAAGGCTACGGTGCTATTGCACAATATTAATGACTACCTAGTTGTTGCTAACTTAGTTACTAGGTTGGTAGCCTTAGGACTGGGCTGTGTACTTATGAATGAGAATTCTAATTGAAGTCTCTACAAGTAATGAAAGATAAGTTTAAGATTTTGTTGTGAATGTGTGGTGATAATGGTATAACTTATCCTGCCTATCCTTTACAAACTGCCTGAAAATAAAGGCACCAGAGCCTAACTTAGCATTTAAATGATTTTATTTGTGCCTATGAATGTCAAGATAATAGTTTACTTAACACTTTACTGTATCTGTCTGAAAGAGTAAGGCTATGTAATGGAACAACCTCCATATTATGACCTGCCCACACCCTTTTTTATCCCTTTACCTTATTGTTGAGGTGACACTGTGACAAAGGATAGCCGGTCCCTTGACTCTTCTTCTAGACATCCTTTGTCTGTAGATCTATCTAATCTAGCTGGGAGCGCGGAAACCTTCTAAATCCCGAGTCTGATTGGGAAATCGTAATCATAAAACCTAACCGCCTGACAAGTTGAAAAAAAAGAAGAGGAAAGAAGAAAACAAATCATCAGAGTCCTGGTTAAAGCCACAACTCCCATTTACTTAGTAAAGCTCTAGTGCTTAGTTGCGTAAGGCAGTTCGCTGTTGGGTTCTTGGGTAAACGTGCCAAGCTCCGAGTTGTACGAGTAATATCGGAGGGAAACGCCATACGGTTCCTGTAAAAGTAGTTATTAATTTATCCCCACGACACCGAAGAAATGAGGGATCGGAGCTGGGGAGAACGAGGTGTAAACGACTTACTATATCAAAACAAAAGATCGTGTCCTGAGGCATCTGAATATCGCCGAGACTACTCCGGCTGATACCGAGGAAATAAGTGACCAAGATCCGCACGACAGCGCGATGTGTGATTAAGACTAAATTGTCAGTCGTTCGCTCAAGCTCGACAATTAAAGGCCGCATTCGAACGATTAGGTCATCGTAGCCCTCGCCGCCGAGTCCGGGCCAGCGGTACCGGAACTTGTCCCGCCTTCGCGCAGCGTATTCTTGCGGGTGCTGCTCGGCGATCTCATCGAAAGTGAGGCCGGCCATATTACCAGCATTTAGATCATCGAGCATCTTGGTATGTGTCTGCTCGTACGTTTCCTCTGGAAATAACTCTCCAGTCTGGACAGCTTGCGGCCATGTCGACGTCCAGACACAGAACTGGATCAGAAGTGAGCTTGATCTTCTCATGACTCTCGGGAGGATGCAAGCTTAGGCAGGCAATAAGAATAAGAATGGGAATGAAACCCAACATACCTGCGAATCCTCCGGATTATGACCCGACACGGGCTCCTCACACCACTTCAGCCTATGCCCCTCAATAAAAGCCGCGAAGTCCCGCGCGTACTTCCGCCCCCGCTCGCTGAGATCCGAGTACCTCCCAATGCGTCTCTCCCTATCATCCAAGCTCTCCCCATTGCAAGACAGCCATATCTGGCGTCGCGCCAGGTTGAAATTGAGGAGGTACTCCACGATCTGCGACAAGATATACCCCCGGATGAGATGCGTGTTCATCTTGCGCCCGGCGTCCGTCATCTGCACGAACGAGAGCCCCTGCCTCTCCTCCTCTGGCCCGAGGGGCTGGTACGCCTTCTCATAGTGCTCCACGCGCGTGCGGAAGTCCGCGAGCGAGGCCTCGGGGTCCTTCCCCTTATAATCCGGGCCGAACAACTTGAGGCGGATGTTTGCTTCTCGCAACGCGCGGTTAGAACAGCAGCTCTCGAGGAACAGGACCTTGAGCCCCTCCCCGCAGCGCCGGCGGATATGCCCCAAGATCAACTGGCGGCGGGAGACAGTGCTGTTCGTGGCGTCGAGGACCCCGATGTTGCCGCCGCCGCCCCCGAGCTCAGATTCAGATTCTACCGCCGGTAGGAGCCAGTCGAGCAGCTCGTCGAGGGTGCGGAGCGCGAGCTGGTCGCGCAGGGACACGCAGGCGGAGCTGGTGGGGTCGAAGAAGGTCGCGGCGGAGAGGGACTGCGGCGCCGGGGCGGCGCTGGCCGCCTCGCGCCGACGGTCGCCGACGTTGAACACGCGTGTCCTGTGCTGCAGCCAGTTCAGGTAGCGGGAGAGCTTCTTGGCGACGTAGCTCTTGCCCGTGGCGGGCAGGCCTACCATGACGATGACCAGCTTTGAGCTGGTGTCCTGATGGGGCGTGTACCCGATCAGCGCCTCCGTAGACCTGCGCGGGCTCACAGAAGCACCCATTGTGCGCGCTTTTTGCTTGCCGCTTTGCGAAATTCTAGTAAATGTAAACGATGAAAGAAAAATCTATGTCTCTTAACGCTGACGCCTGGAGCCTTTGATTTCCCAGCTTTTTATACGAGCGCCCGACTACTTAGCGATTTCGCCTCCCTCAGGTCAGGTCGGGCTCAGCCCAAGCTACGTAGGTACTCGATAAGGAAGGGCGTTGTAAGCTGATGATGATGGTGGTGATAGGCCTTTGTGGTGAGCCAATGACTGGTTAATCATGCCATGTGCTCCCAAAACGCATGGTACCGGCCGGTTACTCGGTGATTTATGCCCCTGGAAATCCGCCCTCTTACTCCACCTGCCAACACCTCCGTACTACCCGGAACGACCCGAACGAATGCTTCTTACTAGAAATTTCTTTCTTGGCTCGGTTTCCTGCGCCGGACTCCTAGGGGAATTGCGCGCTTGATCGGGGCTGCGAGGGACGGGGAGCGAGATGGATGGAAAAACCATTACTGCGGTGATCATTATCGGGGTCGATGCTTCTATCTTTCATAGCCTAAGGGCTAAGAGTGACATCTCTTTGTAAAGGAGCTCTGTAATTGTAACAGAAACGCCGTGGGGCGGTGTCACATGAAGCTTCAAAGGGGCCTCTCTACCAGCTCATTCTACAGCATGTAAATCGGGAGGGGAGAATTGCTCAAATACTACGAAATTCGCTAACCCAGAAACCTTGCGAGTCGGAAACCCGAGATACCACTATAAGCGCGACCTGTGATAACATTCAGTAGATGGAAAAAGGCCTGGGTATGGAGTATGCGCCGCCGCTTCGCATGCGCTTGTTCAACTTGACAAATCAACTTCATTTTAATCGCCCGGAATACTCCTTGCAAAACTCCCCCAATAGCTTAAAAAGGACCCGGCCATTTCGTTGGCGTTATATAACAGATCATATACATACACTAGATGCAATAACAGTGACGATATAGGGTAGTTCATCACCTATGAGTTTGGCAGCACAATTTAACTACCAGGTATCTTCACATGTTCATCAGCGTATTACAAATAGGGATTGGAGACTCCTGTTTGGATTTTTTTGATACTGCGGGGTAACGCAAAACTATCCAAGCAGCGGCCTCAAGGGGCACAGCTGATAGATAGGACTATAACTAGAGTAGACCTCAATTGTGTAGTATAATTAATAGTCTAGAATCGCCGGTCAGCCTTATGTTCGTGTATACTTTACTGATTTTTCCTTAGGGCTTCGTATGTTTAAGAGTTGAGACTCGCATTAATACTGTTTTGTATTTGACGTATAACTCTTTGACAATCATTTCGTCAGACTATCGCGTGTTCAAGTGTTGAGTAGATGGATAGTCGACATGAAAGGTTCAAATAAACTGAACTCGTTTCGACCGACAGAACTTCCGATTATTATCCCCGTAGTATAGTCCCGCACCCCGTAACGCCCAATATGAATACCAATCAGTAGTAGCCCCGGATGCTCGATGTATATACATACCTACCCACCATGCGCAAGAGAGATGGGTATCATGATAAGGGGCCGCCTGTATACCTCTAACACCGTTAAACCGCAGAATTTATATGACCGAGTGCTCGCGTAAGTAGGGGAAACATAGTCTGCTTGTTTGCCTCGTTGACGAGGCCTTGCATTTCCTCAACCCATTTTCCGTCTTCGAGGGTCTTGAGTCTTCTTAGCTGCTCAGGCGTGAGCTTACGCACTGCGGCAAGATAGGTACTATCGAACTCGCGGGAGCATTCGCGGCATTCCTTGCCGGCAGTGTGATCCGCCTCAAGGGTTGCGGCTATGATTTCCCGCATAACCGTAAGAATGTGTACCCGGTTGGCGAGGGTCACATGCTTATCCATCGCAGCGTCCAACTTCTTCAGCATATTTTGCAGTCTAAGCGCTATTTCGTACCCAATGCTGGTTTGCCTTATCTCAGACGTCTTGTCATAGTTTCCCGTAAAGCCTAGATGTGTCTCTGCACGGTCCAGTGCCCATGTGTAGTTGCAAGGCGGTTCCTTCGGCTCGCCGTCAATTGGCTTGATGGCATTGCTGTTAGTGTTGCTATTGCTGGTAGGGGTTATAGGTGGTGATGTTGCGGCCGGACTGTTTACGGCTTGCGTCCCTGATGACGCTGGCGGAGGGGGCACTGGTACGATAGCAACTGTTTGCGGCTGGGTCTGGGGGGCAAAGCTGGCATCTTTGGATTGCTCTTGTTGGTTAGCTGGAGGTAGTGATTGCTGAGGACCACGAGGGCCACGCCATATGAACTTAGGTAGACGTAGGACCCCGAAATGAGAGGCTGGAGCTGTTGTGTTGTCTTCTTCAGCTGCCTCGACCCTTCTACGATTCTGTTGGCGTGGAGATGTAGGTGAGCCCGCGTTCTGCTGGACGGGAGCACTTGTCTGAGCACTTGGCCCCTGCGTCGCCAGAGTGAGGGTAATCGGCCGCGGTTGGCTGGGTTGACTAGGTCGACTGGGTTGACTAGGTTGGCTGGGTTGACTAGGTTGATTGGGTTGATTGGGTTGATTGGGTTGACTGGGTTGACTGGGTTGGCTAGGTTGACTCGGCTGGCTGGGAGGATGTAGCGGCGGTTGTGTAGCGAAATTGGGTAGCACTGGCGGTCGCCATGTATCTGGATTTTTGATCCTTTCGTGGTTGAGATGGATCAAACCTTGCGCAACCTCGGGATCGCGAACAGCGGCGTGGACCAGCAA